TCAACACTCCCCTTACCCCCACCCCCCCACAAAAACCCCCTCCCAAGCTGGTGCATACAAGTCGCATGTACCAAACTTGTTAAAAATATAACAAGTTCAAGGGTCAATAAGGGACTTGGTAAAAGTAAGTTGATCATTTGACTTCACGAAATTTGTGACAATATCACCCAAGGGCATCTTCTCTCTGACAAAGTAATCGTTGATCTCTAAGTGTTTAGTTCTCACATGAAACACTAAGAGCGGCTTGATTATCACATACAAGTTCTATCCGACAGATTTGTCCAAACTTCATCTCTTTGAGCACCTTTTTGATCCAAACTAGTTTGCAAGTTGCCACAACCATTGCTCGATCTTCTACTTCTACACTAGATCGAACAATCACACTTTGTTTCTTACTTTTCCAAGATTCTAAATTACCTGCAACGAGAATAAAATATTCAGAAGTAATCGATCAGAAGTTGCTCTTGCCCAATCTGCATCAGTGTATCAAAAAATTTGCTCATGGCTTCGATACTCGAAGAGTAATCTTCCTCCTGGGGCTGATTTATATATATCTAAGGAAACGAACAACTGCATCCCGATGACTATCACATAGAGAGTCTACTCACGACACATACCCAAAAGGCAATGTCCAGTCAAGTCAAAGTGATAACATACCAATTGACCACTTATACCTTCCAAGATTATTAAGAGGCTCCTATGTCCTTACAAAAGCTTTACATTCGAATCCATGAGAGTATTAATGGGTCTACAATCTATTATTTTGTCTCTTTAAGAATGTCTAAAGTGTGTTTATGTTATGAGGCGACAATTCCTAATTGGGGTTGAGCAACTGCAATGCTTAGGAGATACTACAATCTGCCCAGACCTAAGTTGCGTGGACTCTTCGTTTTTGGTGTCGCACCCGTCTCGACACGAGACGGGTGTGGGTGCGGGTGCGGATTCGGCCAACTAACTTCGGTTACTTTGACCCGAGTCCATTTGGGGAAGGAAATTGAGATTTTGATTTTTCAAAATTAAAAATAGGAAATGGCATACCTTCAATATTGTAGTACTTTTGTCTCATATTTGCTGCTTTGTGTTTCAAAAAAACCAAGAATTCAAGGGTCGTGTTCTGAGTTCAGACTTCTGGTAGATAGCAGCGATATAGATGGAGGGTTTTTCACATAATATCTCTCAAAATTTATAATATCTTAGCCGAATCCCCGCGCCCGTATCCATATCTGGATCCGTATCCCCGAATCTTAAAATTTAGATTTTGCCGAATCCGACACTCGGATCCATACCCATATCGGATACCCGCACCCGAGTCCGAGCAACTTAGGCCTAGACCCTTAGTCAAGAAGTGTTGAATATACCATTGGTATAAACTACTAATAAATAAACAGATTTGGAGCAGCATGAAGATTGAATATTGAATGATTAGCATTACTACAAGTCATATCAAACTCCTAAAAATCGTGTTGAACTTACCAAACCATGCTCGAGGAGACCTTTTCTTTTAATAAGAAATTAATCAAAATGATTAACCACTACTACAGTTTACATTCATTCATGCCAAAGCAGCTAAGCTGTCAATCTTAATATGACACTAGATGAACAAAAACTCGATGCCTTTTCCACCGTCTCCATTGGCCTAATTTTACAAGTAACAAAAACATAATTTGCAAATACTGCTTGAGTAAATTAATGAATGATTGCAATTGAAATGATCAATCCCAAACTCCTCCAAGAGGTGAATAGCTTGTGCAATGGTCAGATGATTACATTTAACTTAGAGATTCTCATCAGAGCCCAGTTCCTCTAGACATAAAAAATTAGGTGGCAATGACAGTAAAGAATTTTTCTCTCGACAATCTTTTCAATGCCACTGCCAAAGAATACCCTAAAGCCCGAGCCACTAGTACTGCAACTGCATTTCCTACTTATATGTACCTTTCTTTTATTGGTCTTGTCAATTTGTAGTAAATAGAGAAACCTTACAGTTGTGCATTGTCACGGATAGCAAGCATTATGTCCTGCTCTGGATATAATATGACCTGATTGTGGGTCTCTGCTCTTGTAACAACTATTGCAACAATTACATCCTACCATACACGATCAAATGGATTTGGGGAAGTACCACGAATAAAACTCATCACATTTTCATGGATGATGGACCAAAGGCTTTTCAAAAGCATAAATTTTGCGTGTATTATATTATTTGATCTACATACCGAAACTAATAACATTTGAGATTGTTTTTAGCATTTGGATACTATTCAACAGTATTGTCAGCACGAGCACGAACGCCAAGCAAGTTCCTGAAGTTCGCACCCTTTCGTTTGGGAATTTGATATACAAGTTGATAGTCATCTTCATCTAACTAAAGGGGCTAATGATCATACAGAACAGTACCCAATGTCCCATCCCTCCTTAATCTTATGAAGCATTGGAAAGTAGATTTGCGCTCATCGGTATAAAGCATTTCATCCCTTGGCTCATCATTTTCCTCAGGAGAAAGATTTGAAAATGCATCCTTAAGAAAAATTTCTCTTTAGCTTGACTTTCACGCCCTCTCATATGCTACTGCATTTAACTCAAATTTTGTAGGAATACCACCCCTCACGAGAAAATTGTGTGGGCAATGGATATTGTGACAATTTCTCTGAAGGAAGAGCACCCTAAATGAAGACAGACACGCATACAAAATTGTGTAAGTCCATAAGCCCCAGCCACCACCAATCCCATTCGTGCTTTGTCTTTCATCCCAACATAATTCACATTCTAAGGTAGATACGTGAGACAAATAGGAACCATTTTTTAAGTCTAGACAAACTGGAACGTCTGAATTTTCTATGAAGTAACTCAGGAGAGTCTGTAACTGGACAAATTGTAAGTGAACTTGGAAGCTTAAGGTAGTACTAGTAAAGACCTTATGACTCAAGTTTAGTAGCAATGATCCGTCTCGTAGTGTGATATTGTATACCAACAAAGTTATTGAGAAAGATAACTGAAAATTAAGAGACTGAGACAAACGATTAATGGATGTTACAATAAAAGGTAAAACCAAGAACATAAAGACATGAGTTTAAAGTTAAAGAAGGCATAAAGATAGCTTGACCTACATCGGTTGCCATGGTTTGGGATTGATTAATGGCTAATGAAACAGTAGACTAAGAATAAGAACTAAAAAAGAAAAAATACTAGTTACCAGAAATATGATCTAAGGCTTCTGAGTCAATGATCCAAGGTCCAATAATGGAAGACTAGAAAGGAAAGTTAAGATACAGGATTACCAACTTGGAAAACAGATGCGCTTTGTAAAAGTGCCTACTTACATACCTCCTTGTACTTAAAAAACTCACTATATTACCTGATTAAGATGAAGGAACCTTCTAACAGATCAAATCACGAGACTATATACTTATGCGGCCACAAATTTCAATTCTTATCGACATAAATGAACGAATGTTCTCAAAAATAATAATTTCAGAAGGTGTCCAGAATATCTTATAGCGAAAACAATAAGATAGTCACTAGACTAAACTAGGAATAAAGTTGTCCTTTGATATGTTGGAATAGTCAATTCACCAGAAAGCTGGTCGACCTTCAGAGATGGAAAATGGCCTGGCCAGCGACACCTTTCCTGGAGTCTTATCAAATCTTTGTCAGAAAAGGGTATAGTTAGCAAAACTTGATGCAACCTAGATGGGTAAAATCGGAATCAAGAGGCAAGCAACTAAAACAGTGGCCGAAAAAGGGCTAGAAATGCCGCACGCATCAGTGGGTGACGCTGGAAAAATAGAACTGCTGGTAGCGAGTGGCGGTGCGTGGATGACCCTACGGCAGCAGAAATTTCTAGGCTAGGATCGCACGAGAGTTTCGACCTTACTGGTGGCACTGTTATAAGTGCAGTGCCTCCGGAAAGCAACAACACCTCGGAGCAGTGTATGTAATTGCTGGAAAGTGCTCGGTAACGGGAGTTCTCTCCTGTTATGTCACTGGTAACACAATGACTATTTTCTCGTATCGAGAGAAATAAATACACAAGAGAAAGAAATGAGAAATTTCATAATGAATCTCCCTAAGCTATATATGGGTTGTTTAAATAGTACATACACCTATTCTAAACTAATAAAGAAATCAAGATTGTTTTCAATAGATCCTCGGCACAAGAAGATGAAAAGAGACAATAGAACAGTAACAGCAACAGCGGCCATAAAGATAGAATCAGAAAAATAAATGAAAAAAGCAATATCAGTAATCAGTAACAATGGCAAGGTACTAGGAAACGGAGCGAAAAAATAGTAAGAACACAACACGTATCACTAGCATACGATAACAAGACACTAACAGATTAGCCTACACCCCGTACGGAGTAGAAAAATACTCAACTACCTCCTAACCTATAACCCTAATGCTCGAGCTCCACACCTTCCTATCAAGGGCCATGTCCTCAGTGAGCTGGAGTCGCGCTATGTCCTGCCTGATCACCTCTTTCCAATACTTCTTAAGCCGCCCTCTACCTCTCCTCATTCCCGCCAAGGCCAACCGCTCGCACCTCCTAACCGGGGCATCTAGGCTTCTCTGCACGTGTCCAAACCATCCAATCCTCGCTTCCCTGATTTTGGGAGCTACTCCCACCTTCGCCAAAATATCTTCATTCCTAATCTTATCCAACCTAGTGTGCCCGCACATCCATATCAACATCCTCATTTCTGCTACTTTCATCTTCTGTCTATTGTTATTCTTGACCGGCCAACACTCTGCCACATACAACATGGTCGGTCTAACCATCGCTCTATAGAACTTACCTTTAAGTTCCAGTGGCACCTTCTTGTCACACAAGACGCCAGATGCTAACCTCCATTTCATCCACCCTGCCCCTATACGATGTGTGACATCCTCATCGATCTCCACATTCCCCTAGATAACTGACCCAAGATACTTGAAACTTCCTCTTGGGGATGACTCGTGAATCAAGCCTTACGTCCACGTCCGATTTCCCCGTCGCGTCGCTGAACTTGCACCTCTAGTATTCTGTCTTTGTCCTACTCAACTTGAAACCTTTAGACTCAAGGGTCTGTCTCCAAACCTCCAATCGCTCGTCAACACAGCCTCGCGTCTCATCAATCATAACTATATCATCAGCAAATAGCATACACCACGGCACTTCCCCATGAATATGGTGTGTCAGTGCGTCCATCACCAGTGCAAATAAGAACGGGCTGAGCGCAGATCCTTGGTATAACCCCATAACTACTGGAAAATGCTCTGTCCTTTACAACTGTCCTAACCCGAGTCTTAGCTCCATCATACATGTCCTTAATCACCCTAATGTATACTGCCGGAACACCTTTTACCTCCAAGCATCTCCAAAGAACCTCCCTAAGGACCTTGTCATACGCTTTCTCTAGGTCAATAAACACCATGTGCGAATCCTTCTTCCTATCCATGTACTGTTCCACCAACCTCCTAATAAGATGGATAGCTTCCGTAGTTGAACGATCAGGCATGAATCCGAATTGGTTCTCGGATATAGATAGTGACCTCCTCACCCTCGCTTCCACCACCCTCTCCCACACTTTCATAGTATGGCTAAGCAACTTAATACCCTTATAGTTGTTACAATTCTGAATATCACCTTTGTTCTTATACAACAATATCTCCCTCGTTGATTCTAAACAATATACATACATAATATTCCCAAAACTAACAATAATTATATGGACAAAGCTTTAAAACATCAAAATTAATTATAATACATAAGTAATAACCATATCAGCAAGTTCAAAACCCATTTCAAAATTTCTTGATAAAGAAAAACTATTTTAAATTTCTAACTCAGATTAGTGATTAATTTTTACAAAATTTAAATTTCACACCATAATTACTACTAAATTCATCCATAAAATTTCCTCATAAATTAATAAATCGATTTGTTTTCTATCTTTATTGTTTAGTGTTGTCTCCCTTTAATATAGACCCGTAGACATTGAGGTGAGCATAGTGCCCGCACTAAATGGCCAGTTAAGCGACACACATCAACTAGCTTGAGTTGCATCAAGGATTAAGCATGCCTCAAACAGGCCTTTAAGTGTGACCATTTCATCTAAAAGCTTAAGCTGTTAGAGAAAGCACACTTATATTTACTTAATTATCTCTTCCACGCATCCCCTTGCATGCAGACCTGGTTCTTTTTATGGGCCAAGCACGTGAAATATTCTTTTTGAATGTAGGTGGCAATGAGACTCAAATCCATGAATTCTACCTGATCTGGTACCATGTTGAAGAATGTGATCATCTCATCTAAAAGCTTAAATTATTAGAGAAAGCGCACTTTATTTACTTAATTATGTCTTCAACAACCACAATTTCAGATAAGGAAACGAGACGCGAAAAGACAGCATCTCAAAGCTTGACATTAGTAAATGATCACAGAAGCATTACTAACCTTTAATGAAGAATCATACAGCTCCTCCTCAATGTGTTTCTGGATGGCAACTTCCCAGGACAAGGGGCTGATGTCAGAAGGAACAATGTCCCTTAGAAGAGAGGGATCACCCACCGGCAAATCCGCAATTGATTGCCAACCAAGTGGGCCCTGCCATTACAGAAAGAACATGATCACAACCAAGCATGAATGGACACACATTAAGAATTTGATCGTTAGAGTTGGTTCTAGTTAGCTTAGTAACTGCCAAAGATAGACTAGTATCTCCATAGTGTAAAGTCGTTGGAGATCCTACATTGTAATTTCCATCCCATGAAATCTTAAGAAAGAGCAAGGAATTAAGTTAAACGACGATTGAAGGATCATAGGCAACCTGTACATAAAGCTGAATTAATCTCCGGACAGTCTTAGGGAACCAGCACGGAAGCATCTGTGAGAGTGAAGTATCATGTGCCGAAGAGAAGAACACACTCTCGCGCCAATTCAAATAGTCTAATAAATCAGAGTACCCAAATACTGCAGAAGACACATAGTTAATAAGGAAAAGGTCATAATCAAAAGAAGGTGCAACTTTGGTTAGGCCTATGTGATAAAACACTTAAACTGCCATCACAGGAGAACTGCTTGAGGTCCTTCAAGGCGGCCAGCAGATTTAGGAGTGAAGTAACTACTCACATTTCGGTTTAGGACCTATAGTGCTGCAAGTTGGATCTTGTCCAAAACATGCCGCAGTTAGTGCACGCCACAAAGTAGGGAAGCGCTGGAGGAATGGCCTAAGATTCTCCAATGTACACTGTGCAGAACTATAGAGCCTGTTAACACTACCACTGCTCAAGCAATCTTGAATCGGAATCGGAGCATACATCAATGTGGCTAAAGCTGTCATTTCTCCTCCTTCCGCAATGTCATCAACAGTATGTATTATGTCTTCTATCTCCATAGTGCTGAAACTGTTACCAGCAACCAAATTATGTGATACAACAGCGCGGGCATTAGAGAACGACGCTTCATACTCTTTTCCCTTGACCCTTTGTAAGAGCAACCATTTTGCCCATTGGTTATCTCCCTGGTGATCATATAGAAGGAAAACCAAAAGGATAGTGAATTGGGCTGTCAAAACGCACAAAAAGATAGTTCACAAGGAAAATATATAGCACTATAAACCAATAGATCTTTTTAAAGGAAATCAGCAACTAGAGACGATGCATAATAAAAAGCTTTCCGGGATGAAAGGGCATAAAAGGCCTCAGTGGAGCAAGATGCAAAGGCAAGTTGCATCGAAACGTAACTAGGCGTCTGCTAGTCTAATGAACTTGAGACCAATTTCTTGTTTGATCCCCCACTAGTATTTTCATATAGACAATTTATATGCCACATAGTGGAGAATAATGAAGCTCTCTGATCAGTTGCACCCTGAAGGACTACACTAAGGTCCATGGAGGCTTATACTAGCATACAGCTAACCTAATAAAAGCCACCTAGGAGTAATGAACCAAGTTTTCCTGTGAGAGCTGGAGAACTACAAAATGATTTTCAGATATACTGTGTGTGACAAAATCTAGACTTAGATGTCAACCAAAAACAAAAGAAAAGAGAAAGGGCTAACCACTGCAGATTTTCACTTATCCACAAACAGGTCAAAGGAAAAAGTAAACAAAAACGAGAGCTCTAATGAAATGAAAATGAGATCTACAAAAGAAGAATCTAAGGCCGTCTGGATTGCTGGGAAGTTGAAGGCCCAAATTTCTTTCAAAAACTTCCAGCTTCCCAGGGTAGGAAAAATAAAAGAGAAAGGCTTGTCATTTGACACGTTCTGATGCATGCACCTCCCACAGGAGTCCCTTACTGGAGTCTGGAGTAATTCACTAAGGGTGTGCCCTTGGAGTTTTCCCTACTGTGGCTGCTGCATTTGAGCTATTGATTTGGAGAGAACAATTTTGAAATGACAATTTATATAAAGTGTTTAGAGACTATATAAATTGGTTGGAGTAAACACTTTTATATAAATTGTCATTTCAAAATGTCCACCGAAAAACCTGTATAGGGACTGTAATCTTAAAAATGAAGAAAGCAAGTACACATGCCATTAACAAGGTAGTATATCAATTATAAGTACCTAAAAGGAAGGAATTTCAAGAAACATTTTTTCAGACAAAATGCTTGCAAAAAGAAGACAAGTATACCAGTAGCATCTACAGAATCGCTCAGGCAAATATGTTCCCGGAGCATGAATGAAGCATTTGCCCTTACAGGTTTTCGGTGGACATTTTGAAATGACAATTTATATAAAAGGCAAGCAGCTTTTTGTGCCCAGTTATATTACTGTCTAAGTCCCTGAATTTGATCAGATTAATGAGGAGGTTAATCAATTGTTGTAACTTGATGAAAATTAAGTCTTTTGACAACCATGAATAAAGGAAAGCCTTGATTAACATTATGTTTTGACCTTATTCCAATTAAAATTGCACTAAACCTAAATACTATTAACAACAGTTATCATAAAAATATACAAATATAGAAGCGACCATCACCTATTACATGGTTCCAACAGTCAGTTTTGACACTTCAGCTTTTCAAAAGCGGAAACCATCAATGAACATAGGTCTCCATTATGGCTAAGTAACAACCAATAATAAGATCGAAACTCTATGGTTTTCACATTAAAGAAAATTCACACATGATACCGAAACCAAAGCAAAATATTATTACACAATGATAAGTCGGGTTTACTCACTGTTGCATCCTGCATCCAGGAAACTGATTCATGATCTAAAGCCAATTTGTGGTGGTCAAGGTAAAGATCCAGGAAATTCAGCAAGTTGTGCTGTGAACAGTAGTGAACAATAACCTTATGAAATGCTTCGATGGAATGTGGATGAGTTCTAGCATCACTAATATCTAGTACAGAGTCTGACCAGCTCTCAGCCAGCTCATCCATCGGTAAAGATTTATGCACATCACGAATAAAACCTGACTGTGCCAGAAGAGCAACAATATCAGCAGTAGCTCCCCAGTAATCCTTCAGAAAAATAAATTTCTTAGCAAGTTCTCGCTCCATAAGCATTAGCAACCACGTGGAGCACATGCTGTGCACAGAAAACCTGAAAATTTGGACACTCGGTACATTCATGCAAACAGCATCCACCTCTTCAAGAGAATATATGTAACTGCCACAGTCATGAGGTTTCTGAAGATATTCGTCAACTGGTGAAGAGCTTACACCATCCAAACTGACACTGAGGCTTCCACTGGTTAATGCATATGATGGAATTACCTCTAAAAGTCTTGAAACATCCAACCAGTCACTATGGCGAATGTGGTAATCAAGTTGTGACTCCCATAAAACATTGACCCCCATAAGGAAAGGTTGATCCAGCACTATCTGTCAGCAAATAAGATTATGTTTATTGCCAGTAAAGAGTTTTTACTGAACACTAAGATCACCTAAACTCAAGATGGAATAATGAAAATAAAAAACGGATATGATACAATCAACAGGATCAAAGAAATGATCAAAATAAAAGAAAAACAATTTGATTCTATAATATTCAAGCTTCATTTTCCGAGCCATTAAGGATGGAGTTGCGGAAGAGGAGTAGCTTCCTGCGTTGGGACCCCTTGGCTCTAGTTCCTGGCCAGCAAAGAGTGCTTGGGATGACTGAGATTAGTTGATTCATCTTTTTAATGCTTTCATTCTTTAAAAATAACAATAAGAAGTTGGCAAGCTGTTAATCGAACAGACAAAGGTGCAGTGTCCTTCGAATGAAAGGATCCAATTAGTAATTGTCAAAATTCTGCCAGTAAAGAGTAGCTAACTCGTGATTATGACAATTCATTCGAATCAAAGATGTGTTTTCAAAGAAAATAATATGCTAAATGGAAAACACAAGAGCAAATCAGAGTTCTATGGGCATGGTATGAGTGCAATCTTTGTTCCAAAGTTTTCTACATCATATTTATGTGTAGCAAATCTAGCTTCTTTCTCATAAATGAATCATCATGTTAATTAATTAGTTTGACAAGTAGGAGTACATTAACTTAAATTACAAGATTTTGCTAGGTGCAGAAAGCACTTGGAACGTGGAGAACTGCTACCTAGATTGGCCAGGGAACTAAATTGCTAACAAGTGCACATTTCGAGGAATGTAAAAACAAGTCACTTAAATGATTATATATCTAGCAATGATCTGGTAAAAGGCCATCATTGAAAAGCATCCACATCATTGATCTGACATCAAGTCAAAGAGAAGTGCAAATGAGAGACTAAGAGGAAAAGGAGTATAGCTAAAGATCATAAATAACAATGAAAAACAAGCTTGTGGCTCTGACTTTTGAGTAGTATCACCAGGGACAGCGAGAAAACCTGTAGAAGTGATTGTCTAAAGTTAAGGGCCTTCAATCTCAGTGTCGATGCTCGGATTCAAGTTCCAGTTAAGGGAAACGTCCAACTTAAGAATTGCATGTCAAGTATCCTAAGTCCTCTCAAGTCTCAACTTTTTCCACTCTCCAAAATTCAAAATTAAAAAAAAAAGACACACACACACACACACACATACATGCAATATATACATACTCAAGAATTTTGTCGAAACCTAATTAATGAAAACCCTCTTCCCTAACTAACTAATAACTTAAGGTTTTAAATAAAAGTGTAGCCACATAATTTAACAAGATAACAGGCCAAGGTGCTGAGTTGAAGTCCCACCATTACCAATTGTCACCACACTCTAAGCACAAGGTACATCCAAAACAATCTAGCCTTAACATTAAGGGCAGTTTCTAGGACCTAATAGATTAGATATTTCCATTCTTTTCTTAACAGCTTAAATTTATACTGTCACATGAGGTGAATCATAACATAACAATCACAGAGGGGAAGAATTATGGTAGATAATTCAAAATTATTGTCCCATAAATAGGGGTGTTAAATTTGACCTATGCAAATATACACCCGCCCAACCCGCTGAAACATGAGTGGTTGAGTCAGGAATAATTCATGAAACTCAATTCGGGAACAACCCAAATTAATCCATTTAAAAATTTGGGTCAACTTGCAACTTGGTAGCCCAAAATGACCCAAAACAAAGCTTCAGTAGAAAGTAGAAAAAGAAGTGTCTCTAAAATTTAATCCACTTTTTCTGTCAATAAAGAAAAGATGTTTTAGTTTGAATTTGGTAATTAAAGAAATTATAAAAGACGAATAAACAAGCAAAGAAGATAGTTTTGAGTCGGGCAGGTAAGGTTATGACCAATTATTTAGCCCAAGTTGACCCAACCCATCTTGACTCAAGCATAGTTTGGACGGAATGAATGACTCAACCCACTTTCAGTGGTCCAAATTTTGACCCAACCCGCCCATTTGACGCCTCTTACAATAAACAGCAATTTTCTGGAAGCAACAATTAAAGTTACTTACACAATCAACAACTCTCTGATCCCAGGCATCAAACCACACAGCAGCAGCACTCCAGTAGCTAGAATGAGTACTATCATCGTCAGCTTCAGGAGCATTTGGTTGTTCGTTGACATTTATCCATGAACCCAACACAACTCCATCAAGTTCACCACAGGCAATAACTAGGTCTCTACCCAATGGAGCCAATAAGTGCAGTTTTATTTCTTCTGTTGCATTCGATACTCCCTTGAACTCTTTGTGCCGGCAAGAGAAGGTACTCCAGAAACTGCTGCAAGGATAAACCCTCTTTGTGCAAAAACAAACCGTCAGCTCAAAATTCTACTACAATCTAGACTCATAGAGACAGTTACAGGAACTTTAATAACAATAATTCCACCTACCTCGATAAGTGAGATCTTCTCCAAAATTTGCAACTCATGTGGTCCAAGATACGCGAGTCCTTTCATGACTTCAACAATTCGCATCCGTAGAGATCTCCGAACAGTGCCGAAAACCAACTGCTTAAGGCTGGTTTCAATGTCTTCCCCCAGCCTTTGAAGTGTTGCTACAGCAAGTCCAGTCTCACCCTGATCATGAACGGTAGCTAACTCATTCGACATACAATATTTTTTTTTAAATTAACATTTGGAAAAGACCTACCTTCAGGAACAAGTCATAAGCAATAGATCTTCCAACTTCACGAACTTCGTTGAATGTATCCTGATTTTCCTGATCTGACATTAAATCTCTTGAACGATGAAGATGCAGCTTAAGAACAGCCAGAGGAAGACGACCAGAAAGTATAGCATCTTTGACAACTGTTTTCACATCCAAATTATCTATCTCCCACCGTGCAATCATATCCTTTGGATTTTCTAAGGAAAAAACTCTTTTCAAAGAATTTCCTTCAGATATTAAAGATGGTTCCTCAAAAGTGTCCAAAGCAGAAATGTTTTTGGAATCAAATGCATCCACGGGCATCAAAGCAAGGGCTTCCCCATTGTTTCTCTCCATCTCAGAAGCAGGAATCAGACCTTTTTGGTTTGATGCCTCCAGAGATAAGACATCAGCAGAAACATCTAGAATCCTGGATTCGTCCTGCAACAAATCTGTCTCACCTACGGCGTCACCTTGATCCACCTAGACCATGAAATAAAAGGAGATGTAATACGTATCAACATCAAGCAGCTGATTACAATGAACTTTGGAAGACCGGACAAAAATACCAATTCTTGGCCTAGCCTTTTGCATTTGTACGTGAGTCGCCACTGCAGATTCCGTATGATCTCCAGAAAGTGAGCCATCTTATGAAGCCTTTCTAGATCTCCTGTTTCATCAGGTCTACTATCTATCAACTCTGAAGAAAGAAAAGAATTTTGCACGCCTCCAACTTTCCACGACTCCATACCATCTTTCTTATGCTGCAATAAACCATATTCCCGTATCATCTTGGTGGCAAAGCCAGTTCCTAAAGCAAGAAGCCTGTATCAAGATCTAAGCATAAGAAAGAGAACTCTAAGTGAATTCAGACAATAACGAAGATGTCACAAAAATAAGCAATGAGTTATCTTACTCAATCATTATAAACAAACCACATAACTAAGAATATTATCTCGTAGTACCACAATATAGTTCAACCAAGCTTTATAACAACTAATGACTATACCACCATTAGAAATGATGAAGTGACTGTTGTATTCCCTCAGTAACAGCTTAAGCTAGTTCCAGATGACCCTTCACACAATTTAACTTGATATCAGAGCACGCAAAGGTATTGGAAACAAGTCACAATGCAACAGTCAACAGAAATATTTCTGCGTACTTGGCCAGAGATCAAGCATGTGCCTGTTTAGTCCTTTTTTTCCCCTCTTACTAATAGAACAATTTAAATTCATAGATGGGGTCGTTCATGCAATCCTAGAATGATATGGTAAAATTCAATAGTACGTCACTTGCTAACTTTGGGATTCCTTAATGGGCGTATCCTTTAGTTAATCAATAACTTTCAAAACCAAAAAAGTACATATATGAGTAACCCAGTGTTTGAAAAGCGAAAAGTGCAAAAAAGCGACTAGGTCCATGGGACTTGAAGCGAAAAGCGGGAAGTGAAGTGCACCCTTCTTTGAAGTGAAGCACACAATTTATGACAAATTAAAAACTGCGGCAAATATACTACTACTAGGCCTCAACCCCTAGCTAGTTGGGTTGAATTAGAAATATAAAAGGTCTTCTTTAATTTTGATAGACATAATTTATACCTCTTTGCTTTTCGTCTATTGTAGGTTTTTTTCTAATTATTTTGTTTATAAATTGCTGTTGTGTTATAGTTATTTTATGTATTTATTTTTTCCATTTGAGCCTTTTTTCATAAAGCACATGGTTTAATTGCAATTTGCACTTAAAGCCCAAACAAACTTTGACGCTTTTCAACGCTTTCCTGTTTGACAAATGGCCAGAGAGCCCATCTAGCAAAGCTTAAAAGAAAGGATAATTATAGAATTTAAGAATCACAGATGACAAAATTAAGTAAACATAGAAAAACACTCAAGCAGAAGAATTTCAGAACAATCATAAAATAACACACCTAGAAAACTGCATACCTTGATGCAGCGGCGACCTCGTTATCATTACCAACGTTGCAGGACATAAGATAAACAACAGCAAGGAGCATCCTCAAGATGCCTTCTTCAGCCAAATTGACATGAGTAAGCATTTCTAAAGACCTGATAGACAAACACAAGATGTTATAACATGCCATGTCAATATAAATCCTCCGGAGGCACAAACCTAGAACTGATACTTTAGAGATGAAATGACTGTAAACTACTAATCCAAAAACCAATTCACATCCAGTTTAAGCATTTCTAAAGACCCGATAGACAAACATAAGATGTTATAACATGCCATGTCTCTAAAAGTCCTCCGGAGGCACAAACCTAGAACTGATGTTTTAGAGATGAAATGACTGTAAACTACTAAACCAAAAACCAATTCACATCCAGTTTCGTTAATCCAATAATGTTGTGGGCCAAATCTGAGACAAAGCAGTATTATTGGTGTTTCTTAATACTTTAGAGTTTGAGGTAGTATCGCTAAGCTTTTCTTTTAGTGTTTTTCAATCTCTGTCTCTCTTGTATAGCTGCTCCAAACGAGTGGTGCCCAAGTTAATATTCTCGTTACCTATTGGTCTTGGTGCCCTAGTCAGTAATATGTCCTTTTTGTTATTACCTTTTTTCTTGGCTTACATATCATAAAGAAAAGTCAGGTAAAGCAACAGGTGCATATAAAGCAGGACAGCCGAAGCCCCACGTTTTTTTATATTTAAAGCACTATTCTATTAGGGCAGCTCGGTGCACTAAGTTCCCGCTATGCGCGGGGTCCGGGGAAGGCCCGGATTGCAAGTGTCTATTGTACGCAGTCTTACCCTGCATTTCTGCAAGAGGTTGTTTCCACGGCTCAAACACATGACCTCCTGGTCACATGGCAACAACTCTACCAGTTACGCCAAGGCTCCCCTTCTTAAAGTACTATTCTATTGATTAGTAAAATTAATTTTGTGCTGCCCCTTTGTCACTCAATCAACTTGTAACTGGTTTTCACCGGGTAGCAAAACACATCATAGTTAACCAGAAAAAAAATTAAAATAAAGAGGAAGCCAAACCAAAAGGCAGCAGAGCAAACTTCTAATGATAAACAAGAATTAGGAAGATAGTGCCAAATATTATATACAAACTCAGTTCCTTTACATTACTGTGGGAAGCTGTGGAAGTCTAACATTCTATCCAGTGTGTTGACATCTTCTAGTCTACACCAAAACGCCAAAAAAGAGATACAGCTATGTTTCAGAGTATGAGTCTAAACCAGCAACTGGATTAACTAATCCATGGGTATTTATGTCCATCCACCCCCCACCCCCCCTTTAAACCTTCTTCCCTTCACCAATTCAGAACCCCCGTCGACCATATCCACTTTAGCCGTTAGCGGCTATTTATCCATTAATCCCAGCCAGTGAAAACCCCCTTTACCTCTATCACCCCCTTCTATCTCCCCCCTCATCCTCCTTCCCCAGCATTCTCTGGGCGAAATTCTGGAAACATCCACAAACGGAACTCCATATCCCCATCATTCACCACCACTGAAACAGGAAACCTTCTCCCTTACTCACTATAATTCTGACTCCCATCAAGTCATGCAAGCTACAGATTACATCAGCAAAACCTCCACAAAGATCTCCAATCTTTTTGAGAAGATCAAAGCACCACAAGAGTGCCGGTAGCCCTACAAAGTTTACCACTGCAGTGTCGCCAGAAAAGAGTGGGTCGACACATCCTGCAAGTTCTACCCAGTTTACCAGTCAGAAAGTTCTCCCCCAACCACCACCTTCCTCCTTGAAGAACTTTAATGGCCTGCTCCTCGTTCGCAAATCGAAACTGAAATTGCGTGTCCACCAGTTGAGAGATTTTTCTTACCATCTTCTACACCCCATTCCTCAATAGCCCAGTTTCTTACTGCCTCTGGAGAATCTACCCATTTCGAAAAATTCCCAAGCAAGCATGTTTTCAAAAGGTTCTTTCTTCTCTGAGTATGTTCATCTGACAAAAGAAAACCTTGGTTCTTTGCCTGTATCAAGCTTCCGGCAGCTTCCACCTAGCTCTAAGGATAGCCAGAAAGAGCCTCCCTGTAGGACAAATGATCTAGCTTTCTTGATTCTAGAGAGAACTAGGAGCTTCTCCCACATATCTCTCTTTGTTAACAGGTAATTATTATTCACGTTCTTGATAAACTTTTTTACCCATGTTAAAGCAAAACAAGTAGATTGGACAGAGATAAGCCTATGAGACAAGGGTGAGCCCATTGCAACAGCATTCGGTCAACTAATCAGCTTCTAACAAGCTTGGGGAACTAGTCAAAAACGATTTTACAACCGAGGAGGTGATGTGGATCTTCCATTTTGGCACGAGTAGTTTCTCAAACTAATCAATTGGAGACGATACCTAGAAGAACTTTGCAACAAGCGTTTTAATAAAATCTAAAAGTGGTAGAGAAATTTTCAGAGTTCAGACAATACTTTAAATTCAAAAAAATGCACAAGCTGCCTACAGCTCTCATTTCTTAGTATATTACCTAATGAAAATTAAAAACCCCGGAAAGATTTTCAGAGTCCTTTAGATTCAGGTACAACGATTAAGAGCAAAAAAGGCAGAGGTTCAAAGATCTTCCTAGTAAAACTTTTTCGAAGTACTAGTCATGTTGTATATCTCAGTAGATGTACCAGCTAATTTAAAATGCTCCAATCAATACTTCTACATGCTACTCATTTTTATAGCCATTCTAATAATTAGGTTCACAATAAGCTACTCAAACTTACTTTTCAATCTCCTCGAATTTTAGGTATTCCAATGCCAGCTGCAAGTGCCGAATCCGCGTAACACTCAAGTCCCATCCTGCAAAATTTGCGAAAGGACATCACACTTCCTGCATATCAACTTTTTCTTCTTCTCCAGGAAAAGAAAAAGGTTCTTCGCCAAAATCAGCTGGTTTTTGTTGGGGCATGAGTTAGTTTGTGCAGTACAAGAACATATTGTTCCTAAGAATACTTATGCACAAATATATTCTCTGGTAATTAAAGAACTTGATTTGACAACAAACACTAGCACTACAAAGTGCAGATGAAAGAGCTAGACCTGATGTATGCTACCCAATGATATTGCAATACGATAGTCACACTCCACAAAATATTCTAGTAGTTTCAACTTGGAAAAGAATAAGGAAACTGGAAAGAAAACCTTGACACAAAGCATTACTGCCTTGAAGTAGAGACAAGTAATCTAAACATTTCATTATCATTTGCTTTCTTTTGCTTTATCTCCTTCCATTTTCATCCGCATGGGTTTGAAATAATGAAATGTTTCCACAGGTGAAGCATCAGAAGGAATCTTGAAAATTAAATCTTTTCTTTCAATATCTTAGATTTTTGAGTCAAGAGAAGTCACACAAATTAGTGCAATCAGCCTGCTCTCTCTAATGCAGCTACCGCGCCCTGAAGTCTTCAGGCAGGTTTAGAGAGGCTCTCCCAAGATTATCAACTTCTAAAATTCAATAAAACTAGGCAACATTCATTTTAGAAAAAATGTCATTATATTTCAGTGCTAGAAAACTATTTCACCCGGGGAATGATTATGGAAAGCCAAAGTTCAATAACTGAGGAAACCCTATAATGGAAGGCTCTGAAAAAAGGCGGGGGAAAAAACAGAGTACAATCAGTGAGAAGGAACAGACAAAGTACTCTAGCAAGCCTAAATAACATAGATCCAGTGTTATCAAAGGCAAGAAGGACAGACAAGCGCCAAGGTAGGTTGAGCTTTAAGCATAAAACTCAACTAAAGCGCGGACTATAATGGAAAATAAGAAAAAAAGAGCAAAAGAAGAGAGGATTAAGAATATACATGTAAGGCAACAAAGATTAACTATAATCACAAACAGCAATTACATAGAGATGAAAATTGGAAAAGCTGCAGTTAAATGAAATATATGAAGTAAAAATTCACTCAAGTTGAGAAGGCATGTGTTTTTCTATTTAGATGTGAACAGACAGTTTTAAGCTTTTAATTAGGTTTAGTTATCAAACAACAACAACAAAGCCAGTGTGATCCCACAAGTGGGGTCTGGGGAGGGGCGGGTATAGGCGGGTATAGGCGGGTGTACGCAAACCTTACCCCTACCTTTGTGGAGTAGAGAAGTTGTTTTCGATAGACCCTCGGCTCAAGAAAAGCGTTTTTCAAAACAGGTTTGGCAAATACAAGAGTAAAAAAGCTAAGACGAAAATAAAGTAATGACAGTAAAAATAGTAAAGCTAACTAAAGTAAAAGAAACATCAGTAGTTATAAAATTGATGAGTAAGATAACTAAACCAAAGTAATTAGAATTTAGTTATGAATTCTCTAACACTAAATTTTTAATTTCCTATGCCTAGTCACTAAAATATTTATTCACCCGGTTTTCTTAACAGCTAAGCAATATAAATGAACTGTCTTTGTTGTTTAGTGTTGCTCTTTTCACGATGGAGCCCAAGAGAGATGTTTCACATGCCTTAGTTCTTTGATGCCTGTGTTTTAGCGCCATTTATGCAAAAGATAAAATGCCAGTCCGCGCAGCACCAAACTTCAGTGTTTAAGTACGACTCAACTGAGCCTTTAACAACACGGCTTAGATTATACTAACACAATCTCATATTCTGCAATAACTCAACTGCCAACTCCCAAAGGTTGTTTCAGAAAGAGTACAGCTGACAGAAAGCTAGACAACAAGAGCAATTTTAGACAAGAAATTTCTGTCAAAAAGTCAACAAGACTTAAAAAGCCCAATCACTAAAAGGAAAAATCTAACAAGAGTAAAATAATTTTAATTATTTCTCCTAGAGCAACTTTAAAGCCCATCACTAAAAGGAATAATCTAACAAGAGTAAGATCATTTTAATTATTTCTCCTAGAGCAATTTTAAACAAGAAACTTCTGTCAAAAAGTCACAAAGCACAAAAAACCCAGTGCCTGAAAGAAAAATGCTAACAAGAGCAAGATAATCTTCATATATTAACGACGAAAGCATGTGCAAAAACTGTAAAACTCAAGCAGCAGTGCAGCACAAAGTAACAAAGTAGGACACAGACAATTAGGCCAAATAAACTCTAAAAGAACATATTTATAATTTAATCTGTTCATGGGGAGAAAAATGTGAAGGCTAGTAAAAGGGTGTATTTCAGCTTCAACAGATTACCATTTTCCAAGCATAATTGATCTGCCACTTCAGGCCCATCATACAAGAGAGCTTTATCCAAGACCTCCACTTTCCATGGAGAAAAAGGTCTTTTTGTGCTTTCAAATTCATGAAGCTTATGTACCCAATACTTTGAGCCAGCACTATAACAAGATTGTCGGTATCCAATTGCTTCGACAGAATAGAAATTCGAAGGAAGTGAAAGACAAGGCAGAACTACAGCAATACCGTCCTTTGTGACCAAATACAAAGAACCATGAAAACTACAACCTATAGCTTCGTCAACTATAGCATCCCAACCTTGAATGTTATAGCAGCTGTCATCATTTACAGTCAAGTTTACATGTAAACTGGAATGAACAAGTTGACACTTGACATTTCCCTCAGAATATTTTCTCTTCACTAGCCGAGTGAGCCCAAAAGGAGAAAAACAAACAACAGCATCTTCTTTGGATCCATCTATACCAATGAAAACTTTTCTGCTATGGCATGAATGCGATCTACTACCAAAAATCCTATTCTTATTTACATCGGTAGCATCAGATAGGCTACTCCCATATGAGTCATACTTCCTTTCCCCATGTGTATTAGCAGTAAAAGAAGACTCTCTAATAATGGATGAGTGACTTTGTTCCTTCCCACCGAAAAAATCAGAAAAGACCCTTTGATAGCCAATTTCAGCGGAACCTACCTCCCAAGCAGCCAACATTTCATTACCCAGCTGTTGATACTGAGGGTGTAATTTCTCGAGTGAACAGTACTTCTTTGGGATATGGTCATCCACATTTATTACATATGTTAAACCATATTCATCGATCACACAAAAAGTTAAGGAATGGGAAATGACAAAAAGCCTTTTGAACCTTCTTCTACCAACATAATCTCCCTCCTGATTGATGAACTGACCACATTTCTTCTCTTCAATACGACTTTCTCTAATCTTCAGAGATGAATTCTTTTGTTCTTGAGATACTAAGGAAGGAGAAACTCCACACACATTTAACAGATCTATACATGCTATATGTTCACCGGTTAATGCAACGTAAAAGGAGACTAAGCCAGTAACATTAAGACAAATAAGAAAAGCATGAGAAAACCTAAACTCAGGCCACTCAATTGCTGACCTGTCCTCAGGGCATTTGCCCACTGTCACCGAGCAAACCCACTGCATTCCCCAATCAATTAACCTGGCCACTGCAACTAAAACTTTACAGCCTGTTCCATCATCTATATTTGTTGTGTTAGTTTGAACATCTTTATTTGTATTTAAGGCAAACCCAATCAAGCATTGTGCATCATTAGAGAACACACTGAAACATTTGTAAGAAGTGCTCGTCTGATCAACTAGAGCATCAGGGGACATCCGTGTGGAATCTGTACATATACTTTCTGTAGGATCTTCGGCTGAGATATTACCATTCTGTTTGTCATGTGATATAGGACAACCATCAAATAGAAATTCCAAAAGCTGTGGACAGCTGAGAAAATTACTAAATGAGACAACTGAAGCAGATGAAGGAACTGATGATTTATCTGGGAATTTTGTATACACTTTTCCATCAGAATTCATTGTTTTAACTTCAGTCAAAAAAGTACGCAGCCATCTTTTTACTCCAGCACTCTCAGATGACACCTCCTTTATACCCTCCATAGAACAGCTATTAGTTTTTTCCCCAGTTGGACTAGACCTGTTCGTGTCACTGACCTTCAGGGACTCATTTGACTGGACGGTAGAGTCATACAGAGTTCCCGCTGGTTGAGCTGAGGCTGTTGACGGCCCCCACTCCACCCATAGCCCTTGACCTACATCATCTTGTTCCGTGGGTGTTATTGAATCACTTGTCATATAAGATTGACAAAAAGCATGGACAGTTACCCCCTCATGGCCTAACACGAAAAGCAGTTCTTTGAAAGGAACGCTGTCATGCTGACTACATAAATCTTCACAGATACCCCAAGCCACAGTTTTTACATCAGAAATAGAAGGGAAAGAGTTAGATCTTTCAAAATCCACTGTCGTTGTATTTATGTTGCACGGCTTCGTCTCAATTGACTGAGAAGTGCTCTCACAGTCATTCTCTAACTCTGTTTTACCGAGTACCATGCACTCCACTGAGCAGGAAGACAAAGTATCCGCATTCTGAAAACTCTTAGAGATTTGTGGATCATTAATACTTTTACCTGCAGCAAACAGGAAACTTTTAGAGGTAAATATAAAATATTTATTGTTGAACTGACAGGTGAATTAAAAATATTCACCTTTACCCAATGGAACCAGTAAAGCTTCACAATGATATGAAAGTAGAGCTAATAACTCCCGTCTTGGAGAAATAAAACCTTCACAGAAGTCTGACAGGTTGACTTGGACTTGCGAGGAACTCCATTTCTGCAGCTGCAGTATTGCAGGATCTTCGCCACCATAGGCAAAATCCATGCCAGTCCTAAGGGACAACAAAAAATTAAGCAAAGGCCAGAAAGAAACGATAGCCATTGAAGTATTGGGACTTGGAAGCAACAAATTCATGAAAGAACACGATAATATGTTCAAAAGTGCCCATGAAAATTTGTTAGATGCCGAAGATTCCGTAATGATTCGTTTTGGGTGTACTACTCTCAGCATTTTCTTTATATTGACATATATCAATAACACATATAGCATTACATATCAAAAAAATTGCCCATAAAAGTTAGAACTAATTAATTGATAGCAGATGCCAGATGCTTTACCAGTTAGTGCAGACAAGGTCCTAATGGGAATTCAATTTGGAAGGTAATAGTACCAAATATCACAGACAGTGCAGGTCCAGTGGCTTCATTTAACGACCGCAAAGTACAAAAGACCCACAATGAACATCGCCCTTCCTACTTTCTCTTCTATCCTTTATGGACACAACAAAATGGCTATAACTGAAAATAAGCTTAATCCAATAAAGCCCCATCTTTTCCTAATCTAATGCTGACTTATTTTATGACATGAAAATGTGGAATGAGATCTAAGAGTATACTGATAAAAAAAAAACACGGAGAAATTTTCATGACTACCCAACACAAACTCATGCATTGCAATTAAGGAGCACAAAGCCTAGATCACCCCATAATGAACATTATGCCCCCACATTCTCATCTAGCCTTCTGCGACACATCAACATGGCAATAATTGCAAATAACTTCAAGCCTAATCCAAGGCACTACTTTTTCATAACCTTGAGGCTAGGGGTGGGCATAGTTTGGGCAAACCCGAAATCCGAACTTATTGGTTTTTTGGTTTGGATTTTTGGATTATGGATTGGAGTTCGGATTTTATTTTTAAAAATTTTGGATTTTGGATTTTGGATTTGGGACTTCAAAATTTCGGATATCTGAAATCCGAAATTTTTGTACCTTATATTTAGCCTTACCAGTTAGACATTAGCCCATTACGGCATTACCCATATACATACCTAATACTAATAAGTCTAAATCTCCAATAGAATCATGCCCAATAAACATTAGCCCGTATATTCAATACAAATTACTAAGTCCAATATGGGATTCTCTACTAAATCAAATATAATATAGGGTTTTCTTTTCTCTCACATCTCACCCACACAGCTACACCATACGTGCGTTTGTAAACACTGAAGAGTCAAGGCCAAAGTTGACTAAAGATTGAATTTTGGGTTCACCTTTCCCAGATAATCTTTTAATTTAATTTATAATAGTATAATTTGAATCAGTGTGATATTGCATATTCGAGACCTTTTTTCTTGAAGAGCCATTATATAGAGTCGAGAAGATATCAAAAACTAAAGCATCTTTTGATTATCATCTTTGTACTTCATTTAAATGATTATTGAGTGTTTTCTATAAGCTCAACTTATAGGCTTAAAAGTCAGAACCGAAAATCCGAAAAATTCAATCCGATTAATCTGAAACCGAACTTAAAAAATCCGATCCAATCTGAAATTATTTGGATTGTAATTTCTTAAATCCGAAAACCAAAAATCCAAACGGCAATTTCATATTCAATCTGAACTGCCCGAACGCCCACCCTTACTTGAGGCAGACTTGTCTCCGCACACGTTCATGGGTAAAAAGTGATGATTTAGGAGCAGCATCAAGAATTGACATGTCTCTCTATTCGAATCAATGCAATAATGAATCCAGCATTATCAAACAATCAATCTTGAACTCTTGAAGAAAATGTGGAGAACAATTATAGCATGTGTTTTTGAACAATTTGAAAAGAGAGGAACCGGAGATGTTCTGAGGGGAAAGCATCACCGACGCATGCCCTAACATAGATGCTTATATAAACTAATAACATTTTGACGTAATCTGTCTAATATTTATGATATGGGGAAAATGATAAGAGTTCATCAGTAGCTTACAGGCAATGAGGCATTGTAATCTTGGAATCAGTTTCTTTTCCTAATGCCTAGCACTATGTTAGTGCTTGGCAAGTTATAGTAATGAAATCTTTTGCTTACTGACCGAAAAAGAGGAAATCAATAAATACCAAAGCAATTTGCACCATCACCCAAGACGAAAATAAAACTTCCAGGTAGGAAAGACAGACAAATAAATGATTACCATAGATAGCCTGCAGATATACAAACAAATTCATTATCATTGGGATTGGCAACAAAGGCAAGTTTCACCTGAACAGGTTTATTGCAACAGATACTCATTCATCAATCCAGCTGGACTGAGACATGTGTATGTAACACCCCAGACTTTAGACGGAGTCTCACATCGGCAAAACACAAGAGAGATGTTGGGTATATAAGTTAACAAACCTTAGACCTTAGTGACACGTTTTAAAGCCATGCGGGCCTAGGTCCAAAGCGGACAATATCACTAATGGGATGCGTTGTCGCATATGGTATCAGAGCGACTCTTGTGTCAGTCTTGCCGATGGTGGGTCAGAGTTCAACTGAGTTTAGCCAAATCCCGGTTAGGCGGGGCAAACCTCAGTGTTGAGCCTAGGCGAATCTCATACGGTGGGGCAAACCTCAGCAAGGACGCTGAGTCCATAAGAGGTGGTGTAGAGCCCGATGCCCAATGCTTGAATGTGAAATGTCATATTAATTGTGTTAAAAGTATTTCAATTCTGCAACATATTTTTAGAGATATCTGGAGTTTCTGTATAAATATTTAGTCTTCTTTTATTTTTTTATTTCTTTCCTAATTTCATCGTTTATGATAACCTATGGTCAAGACGCTTATGGAACTAATATCGTATGTCCATCAACAAGTAAATGGAAACAAAAAATTTCATATCTGTTAAGAGACTGTTATTTTGAAGTTGGAGTAAATAATGCAACATCGAACACTCTCAGGAAAAAATTCATTTATATGTTTCATGTTTCCTAATATTGCTCTTATTGTTGCAGAGGTACTTGAATGGTTCATAAGTTTGTTTAATATCCAAGCAGCAACCTTCTTTTCTGTAAATTTATTGGACAATGATTAAGTTCTTTCCTTATACCGGTATGTAGGCGTGAAACCATGGAGAGTGAAGATGTTAAAAGCGGACGGGGGTAGACCTATAATCACACGGATGGAAGTTGTCTCGGAGGACCTAAAATTTCTAGCCAAAGTTACAAAGCAATTCTATTGTAGGTCTTATGCTTTCTAGAGATTCATACATTTAGAAAATATAGAAAAATTCTAATACTTTTCATTTGTATTTACATAATATTGGCATGAGATGAGCTTAAATAGTGTAACATGGACAGTGAAGATTCATATAGCAGACCCCAACTTTTTTTTTTTTTTTGATAAGATGAAGCTGACCCCAACTTGTTTGGGATTGAGTCGCAGTTATTGTTGTTGTTGTTTATTAATATCTTCCTATTCGTTTTCAATTTTACATTATTTTTCAATCGGAATTTGATACTTTTTTGTGACCGAGAAATCCGTCTGGAGCCAACCCTTTGGGCCAACACCAGCATCCGAAACTTGGGGATGATGGACCCGCCCCTCTACCTTTCTTCTTAAATACTAGAGTTAGTGGCTCGAATTTGTAACCTAAAACACAAGTCCCACAACCTTCTCCAATTGAACTAACCCTTGGGGGCCTAGATTTTAATGTCTATTGAAAGATTATTTTAGGAAAAATGGACTTGAGATGACTGATAGTCAATTTTAGAGGATAGCATGTACGTCTATAGTGGCTTTATAATTGGATCTAGGGAAATAAGCTAAAGCCACTTTGAAGCTTCGGTAAGCTTTTTAACACATATGATATAAGCCTTTGGAAAACGTCAGCAGTATGTTCACTACGAATCAATTATATTAATCAGAGAAATCAATTCTGATTTAACATCGCGAAAACCTCAAAGTGTCAATTCTAACAGTAAATCTTAGTAAACAATTAAGTGTACCGGAGCTTCTTATTCTTTTGTTTTCAATAAGTTTACCATTGCATCTTTTCCTTGTTCTTTCTAATTTCCAATGAAATCCCCTCATTGGCAATCTAATTATAGTTATATGCAACAAGCTTCCAAGTCCTAATCTCATCGACCCCAACCTCACATCAATTAACCACTACTATTGAATTCAAAAGCAGCAACTCAGTATCAGATTCTTCATTACACCTTAATCACAGAATAGTTTGGATCGGCTATATTTATCCTCTATATCCATTCTGCTGCATTTCACCAGCTTCATTCCACTACTCAATAACTATCCAAGGAGGTTCTCTAAAACAAGGGCTTCACAACAGCCAAGGGTGTGGCTTAGTGGTCATGAAGTGGGAGGAGAACCTTGAAGTCTCAAGTTCAAAATTCATCTTCACATCTACCTAAGCCTTGACGGCCAAAGTTACCCGGTGCCTGTGTTGGTGGGAGGTAGTAGGTATCGAGTGAAATAGCCAAGGTGCGCGCAAACTGGCCCAAACACCACCGTCATCAAAACAATATATAAAAACAAGGGCTTCACTAAATCACACAACTATCCCTACTCTTCTCATACAATCCCTAACCAAACTAAAAGAGCTCTAGTCAAACAAATAAACTCAGTCTGCTCCAAAATTTGTAATCCTCCATCCTAAACCATCACTATAGTAAGTTCTCAACTCATTGGCCCCAACCCCACATCATATCGCCAGTGTTATTGAGATTCTAATGCCAACAAATTTGCTTCAATCTTCAAAAATGAATCAAATTCAGTCAGCTGCAACCCAAAATTTTAATAACCAAATCAAAAACTAAGATAGACCCAGATACTAGATTCCGAAAGGGTGTCTGATTTACCAAAATTCTAGGAAAATAAATATAAATGCAAAAATTCAACGAATAAAGCTTTAGCAATTTTTGTCAAATTTTCAACTTATAACTTGAGAAAATAAGTAGTAGTAGAAAAGGATAAAACCTGAAAAGGTAAAAGTCTAATCGATCGGTTCTTCACAGCAGTTGTGTTGTTTGAAGGCTTTGCTTCTCATAGTCTACGCTGTTACCTCTCTCTTTCTCTCTCTGACAATTCGAACCAAGGAAATGGTGGCTTTTGCACGATCTCACAATATATTTTATGTAATTTACTGGTAATGGTAGAATATACAGTTGATTTTTCTTTTCCTTTTCTCTTTGGTTCTTTTTTATTTCACAATGAGAAATAATGTACACAATTAAATAAAACTTTGATATTATTTCACAACGAGAAATTAACTTAAACAGCCGTTCGTCTAAAAATATAACTGAAAGTAATATAATTAGTTTTAATATATGTATATTGATTAGGACGGTAAATATTTTTGATCGAACAATTAAATATAGTATAATTTTTTGTTTTACAATTTAGTATAAAATACATTAAAAAGTTGTAGAAATATATATACTGAGAGAGCGTAAAAAAATAATTTCATAATTAAGTCATTTAAACAAATTATTTTTTAATATTATTAATTGCTAATTATAAGATAACTTAATATAACAAGTTAAATTATACGAATCTTAAAGTTATTAATGTATTTAATTTAAATTTATTGGAAAGTATAGAAAGTGCCTATCTTTGGTTCCTTAACCTTTTGGCTTTTAGCGTGATGTTGAAACCTGGGAAATATCTCTCACCCAAAAAACAAAATTGGGGATCTTTTAAAAATTTCAAGTTTAAATGGTTAGGAAAACACTATTTTACTTCTTATTAATTTGTGAAAAACGAAGTATCATGCTCATGTTAACCATTTATTAGTGAATAAATGAAGTGGCATTAATTAATCCCTCGATTATCACTACTTGATCTATTTTACTCGAAATTAATTGTACTTTATTAAAATAATTTGCAACATCTCAATTAATTTATTTTGATATGTTTACCCGAAAAATGGATAGAGTTGAATTTATACGCAGTTCCGAGGATATGTGGCGTAACTTGATACAAAATGCAAGGATAAATAAAATGTAAATGTAGATTGGAGAGAATGCAATCTAGATAAGGTTATCAAGAACAGTGAACCTTAGGATTCGACAAATAGAACCAATCTAAGAAACTGGAAGAGCGATTCTTTATAGTAGGAGAAATATAATACTTTTATTACAATGTAAGTCTCAGAAAAACTTGTGCTACAGAAATGATAACCAAGCCCTTTTATAGTGGAGGGATTTGGCTCCAAGCATAATAAAATAAACATTCAGTGGGAGACCCCATTTAAGTCAGCTTTTTCATAATTTCTGCCATGATTCCCTCTAGTGGGATTGCAACGGCTTTTGTCTGCGAGCTCGATCTCGCTTAGAATCCTCGATTTTGATTCGAGCTTGATTTCTGCTCGAACTTGTGATCTTGGTTCGAGCTCGATCCTGGTTCGAGCCCTCGAATTGATTCCAGGTCAATGTTGGTAGGTCTTTGGATTATCAGCACGATAGGTCTACCCTGCGTCATGGTTCGATTCTTGTTCGAGTTTGATTATGATATCGGATTCGAGGTTAGTTCGTCCCCCATTCGGGATCTTACTTCGATACATCACCCTTCGAACCATACCGGACATGCCAAGGCTGAAATCTATTTCGACCGTATACAGATAGTCCCCTCATTTCTGAGAAAGAATATGGCGAGAAACGATATAATTTTCAACAGCTCGATCGGATTATATCTTGTCGTTTCTATCGGGTTCGACCATGACGCATCTGGTAGTTATCCCGTCGGTTTAATCTTTCAAGGCATTTAATGCATGTCAGGCGGTGGTCGGCCACTGCTGATACTGAACCGCCATCGTTTGAACCTATAAATAACCCTTACTTTTATCTTTTACTATTTTTACATCTTCTATCTTCCAAAATTTCCCAAGTTCTTCTTCGTACTCTCTTACCAGTAAAGCTGTGATTTTTTTACGAAAAAACCCCTCTTCAATTCTACCAAATCTCTATCACTTTCTTCTATTCCTTACTTTTGAATTCAAAAATGACGAAAACATCGCAAATCATTCCTCAGAAAGAGAAGGCTTCATCTTCACAGTGTGTCGCCGATGAGGTACCGGCAGAACCACGGCCTGAGGAGTGTGTTCCCGGGGCGTGCGTCCTTACTTCAGATTTTAAGGTTGATAAAGGTTCATCGGTCCCTGGCCGGTGTGAGCCGGTATCGAGGTACATGTGTTCGATAATCGAGAAGCACCTCGATATGTTAAAGAAGGATTGCAATTGGGGTGAAAAAGAAGTAATAATACCTACCCCTGACGAAGATATCACTTCTTACGTGAAAGGGTTTTTGAACGTATATACTTACCCTTTCACTTTGGGTCCCCTTGATTCCGTCATTATTGACTTCTGTCGACAATATCTGGTAACCCTAGGCCAGGTCCATCCTTCTTTGTGGCGGATCGTTATCCTGATCCGATATTTTATGAGCAAAATCGAGGGTATGTCGTTCACCCTCGATCATCTTATCTGGTTGTACCGTCCCCGACTTTTTTGAGGAGGGTTAATAAAACTCCAGTGTTGGGCTACTAAGGCTCTGTTCTCGAGTATTGACGAGGACAGGGACCGGGGTTGGATGGGCAGGTTCGTTCGAGTAAGAACTTCGGACCTGATCCCGACTGAAAAGATGCCATTTCCCGAGGAGTGGAATATGAAACGTAAGTGTGATCTTGTTGTTGCTTCTATTTTGTTCTTCCATTTATTCTCTTATCAACACTCCTCCTTTTGTGATGTAGCGGTTCTCTGGATGCCCGGAGCGGTTCCCGATCTTAAGAACTGGGTGCGGGCTCTTGTTTCGACCTCCACATATGCCGAGCGCTCATGGAGTGATTTGTCAAAGGGTCGGTGGGAGGCCAAAAATCACGGTAAGCTCATTTCTCGGACTCAGAAGATCCGAACGAGGCGTTTCTCAAAATATTTTTTATAAGGTTTCCCATATGCAGGTTTGGGTAAAGACGCGGTCTTGAGGCCTCTGTCCAATGAGGAGGATGTTTCGACCTCTGTCCCAAAGCCGGTGAAGGAAAATAAAAGGAAGAGAGCCTCGGTTCCCGAATATCCAAAACCGAAGAAGAGGACGGCTC